TACATATTCACCCCAAATTCGGCTGCCTCTATAACTCGGATGCGGAAGTAAAGAAATCAAATTCTGTTTTATTTGCCGCTTTTGTAGTCCGTGGTACAAAGGAAAACAGTGAATTTAGTAGAAGCTGAAAGTCCGAACGAATGAAAGACAGTGAAAAATTCCATTGACAATATTGAAAAATATCTCAAGTCTTTATCATCCCTTCTGTTATGGACTGTTTGGAGATCGGTGAGAGAATGTAGTGTTTGGATAATTGTATATGTAGTACGGAGATAATTATGGATTTAAATGCAACCAATCTTAGGAATTTTCTCTAAACTTGCTCTAACATATAGATGTGGCTTGCATATAATAGATTTCATACAGAGGATTGGTATTCAAGATGATTTCTCACCAGAGAGCAATACAGAATTTTCAGATATTCGATGTCAGTCAAGTACTGAGGTGCATCTTCTTAGGAAGCCATTCATTTTGAGAGACTTATTAACAGTGACTGATATGTGGGGCTGAAACGAAAGTAAGTTCTCCAGAAGTAAACCCAAGTCTTTCAATTCCAAATAACTTGACACAGAAATGCTTTAAATTGCAGATTGCAATACTTTTAATTTATTGGATGTTTGCTCTAAAAGTTGCAGAAAGCCAAAACAACTTTTATTTCGGTGACCGATATGAAAGTTTGGCCCTTTTGGATTCAGGACTCAGGAATTCTTCATATCCACTTCTTATTGCAAAAAAAAATGAGAAAAAGTTTTGGTTACTTTGTTGTAATTTTCATTTGACATGATATAGGTATCATTTGAAGGATGGGGTGTTTCTTGGAATCACACTGGGTACAAATATACAGACAATAGAATTAAATAAAAAAATCAGTAACTACTTTGTGAACTACAAAATACTACAGGGTCTTAATAACAAAAGGAAAAAGATACTGACCCTGTTATCATCAGTAACTCTGGTACATTCTTCTTCGACAATACTACCATCGTTAGTAATAATACTAATTCCATCAGATTCCAGATCCGATTCTAAAAGAATGCCTTGAAAAGGTTTATCCATATACAATGAATCAGTTACTTCTTCACTTTCAACTGAATCTACAAGAATCCATTTGTCCATGTTATCTTCATCTGGGTTATCCATTTTCTAATAAAACGGTATTTCAATTTTTCACTTCACAGGATACTGTTGCTCAAAAAGGGTTGCTAAAATGCGAAATGTATTTTACTTCACATAATTTTATAATTATCTTTGTCTAGAATGATGTGAAATATAACCTAACAGAAAAGAGTAAGTAAAAAGTAAACAAACAGTGACAGTAAACAAAAACAATTTCACGGAACAAAAAATTTGAAGGTATTTCTGTTTATGAGGTTATTGCGGAACGGGGGAACCTTAGACCAGAGAAGGGGGGTACTATGTGCAACTAAGAAATGTGACAAAAATTTGTGAATATAATTTTGATAATAAATAAAATAGGAGAGTGTTCAAGAAAAACGTTTGGTTATGTCAATTAGTATTTTTAGTTGCCCAGTTTTGTACGTACCTATGTCATGAAACAGTGACCAATTCCAACTTCAGTCATATTTTAAACGCAATAACGGGTATATCATTCAATTGAATTTTTCAGAACGAACTACACATATTTTACATGCAAAGTCCCATACCCATTTTCAAGTGTTTCGGAAATAGTATTGAGATTTATTGCAGAAATTACCTACCATGAAAAAAAATTTGATTATAGAAATTCACTAAAACACATTCAATACTTGTTTTCCATTTAGGTTTTGATAATGAGAAATTAAGTATAAACTATTCCATCTCCTTTTTAAAGAATAGTTTATTATTGGTTAAATTGAAACCCTTGGCTACTTTTGTCTGCTTAACAGTAGTTGTCAGTGGTGTAGCTTAGAATTTCGCTAACTGCATATCAGAAAAATTGTTCATTAATGCATAAACAAAAGATACCTACTTCTAGTCGAAAAACAGGCCCAATAATTTTTGATGTTATTAGTCATTCATTGATTATTCAAACATCAATATAAAATAAAATACATACTTATAAAATCATACCAGCTCAAGTATTCATGAAACAAAATTTCAATGAGAACTCATTTTTCTAAACAAATGATTAAGATAACAAAATATGATCCGATATTAATCTCAAATAAGAGATCTGAAATTGTGAATATCGATCACAATTCGTTAATAGCAAAAATAAAAAATCAGCAAGTTAATTTTTTACATTATAACTGAATGAAAGAATACAAAATCCATTAAAACCAAAAAACAAATTCGATAAAAACTCAAAAAAGAAATTCTGTACGATTCCAGACACTAAACTCTACGTAACCGCAGCAACCTCAACCTCTAGGGAAACATTATTTAGATCGGGTCGTATATCTTCGTCTATAAAATACCAAGTAAGGAACTCGCGTTTCCTGGGGCTTCAGCACGTATTTTTCCTGCACGGCCTTGACCGAAAAATTGTTGAACCTTATCCAGCAGTTGTAGACGACGTGGAAGCCATCGGTCACATAGTCTCTAATGTTGGCATTTTTGTCTTCGCGGTAAACGACGGCTTATAGTACGTACTGCTTCTCTGTTAGAGAGTGTGTTTCCGACGATACCATTGTCGAATCAATCTTCAAGTCGAATCCAAACTCCAAAGCCTTGATAATCTTTGTGCAATCGTCGTGGCTGTATTCGAAAAACTTCAGATGTAATATGAGGATAACGGAAAGTTTGCAGAGCATAATTTGCTCCCATGCTTCGAATTTCTCGTTAGTTTTCGACAAAGTCAGCCCCTCTAAACTGTTCTTGGAAACGAGTACCTTGAGCGCTTCTCTAACAGTCTTAATTTTGAGTGGCAGGGCGTGGAAAGGCTGGATGTTCTCAGTAATGTGGTCCCCGACACGATGAATGCTCTATTTTGGTTGCCCTAAGAAGATGTCACTTATTGGTATACTGGTGAAGTCGATCCTTTATGTTTCGGTTCCATTACATTCCAATCATTAATTGAATCATTGCTAAAAGCAGAGTTAACGAGAGGTTTTTCATCTTGAGTGTAATATTTAACCAACTCCTTTAGTTATAACATTTCATCATTGAGTCCAAATAAAAAAAAGCTAGAAACTCTTTTGCATCTTGTTGTCTACCCTCGATCCAGTCAGTCCGCATGTTATGCAACGTTTAATAAATCTACGTCGGACTGAATGGGATGCTAGTATTGATTATAATAACTTCTTGGTCATCTTAACATTTTTATCCACTTTCCCATTTTTCATCCTAATGTAGGAAAGTAAGCAAACAAACTTCTCCACAAAACGACACATTCCAAATATAATCGGGGTAGATTTCATTCTCTCATTCGACGGGATATTTTTGTTCAAACTGTAAATTGTAGAATAGTGGACATGCGATCAAAGCTTGCAAAATCGAGTTGATGTAGAAAATGTTCAATTTTATGATGAGCAGTACATCTTAACGCTTCGCGCTTATGTTAATTGCTTATATTGACACTGTATGGGAGAACAGTATACTGGTTAGTATTTGGACAGGAATTGTTGAGAATATCATTTCATAAGTTAATTTTTCATTGATAGCGATTTGAATGTCGATAGTTATTTAGTACTGCTTCCAAATAATATTGTACCAACTTTGATAAACTTCATATTGTGATTAAGTAAATCCAAAAGTGTCATGCAGATAATTTGATATTGTATCAGCAATTTTCAGCTTCACCTCAACCCGATAATCACAAATCGGTGGATAGGAAAGCAAGGATCGATGGAATGCACCATCTCCTGATCTGACGTCATTAGACTTCGTCTCATGGGTTTATGTCAAAAAATATTGTGCACGAACTGAACCCCTTGACTAAGCTGACTGAGGAAGGCGAATAAAGCTTGCGTCAAGTTAAGTAACAGAATACATTTTTATTTAAGATTAGAACGTTCCCGAGACATTCGCGACGAGATTTCGAATATCTCTCATACATTGACATTGTTTTTTTTTTATTTTCGTCATCAAGGAATAAACAGTGTCAGTTATTAATTTTGGTGTTTTAGTGGATTTCTGTTATAAACTAATTTTCTTATTTTCATTGTTAATAATTGCTAAACGTCTAAAACAATATTTTCGGAACAATTGGAGATATGTATTGAACATCGTACATGAAATATGTATAGAATGTTTCAAAGAATTCAAAACTTGCACATTTGCATTTGAAATAAAAAAAGTAGGTATTTTGGTCATTGTCACAAAATACATCCTGTATTGAAAGATTTTGTTAAAAAAAATACTAACTAATGTGTCCGAGTAACAATAACAATTTCTGACTAACTGTCTACAATGCAGTAAGGTTAATTGATGTATAACTAATATACAGTATCATTTCTTTTTGAGTTTGAAAGCCGTGGATTTTTGGAATTTCTTCCTGACGTTTCGCTGGCGCGAGGCGCGACTGGCTAGCTTCTTCAGAGGTTTAACCATTATGTTTTGCTGTCCGATGACGTAACAGTCTCAAGCTCTTCACATCCTACTTTCAGGTTTATTGTGTTGTGTGTGATTTAATTTTGTTTAAACCAGTTGTAGTGTCAATTTTTCAAATGCAATTTTTTTTACAGGTACGAAAATGCCCGGTTCGACTTTCTTCTACCTGAGCCTAATTGAAAATTTACTTGCATCAATATATCCAATGAAATTTCGTATATAATATGTGATCATAGTTTCATGTTATTCAGGGCATGCAAGTAGTCTCTGTATTTTCAAGTGAGAAATATTTGAAGTGATTTTGTGATTATCGTTTTGTGAAGATGGAAAATATTCTCGTAGATAACATTCAGGTTCCTCATAGAATCGTTAGAATGAAAGGTGACGGAAACTGTTTAATTCCGTGCCTTCTCATATATTTTGTTCGAAAATGAAGAATTTGCGCAGGTGGCAAGAAAAAAGTTGTCAAACACGTGGTTGATAACTGGAGTCGATATCAGTACTTTGCAACTAACTAGAAAGGGGACTCGTACCGAAATAAAGATGATTACTCTTCCGAAATGTTACGGTGTAACTCGAACGGTACGAGTTGTGAAATAGCAGCGGCTGCCATTATAGGAATGGCACGGTGTTGATGGAATTCGGTGAGATGTCCGCATTCTCTGTTAGATTGAAATTTACTGGAAATTTGAGCGGCGGTCATTTTGACGTCCTCGAAGAAGATTCCACTGCAGGGAAAAAAACAAATTGCTCCATCGTTCACAATGGCAGATTTTTGGAAACCACAACAGTCAAATAAATTCAAATACAAATGAAGGTCGAGTTTGTGGTTCGCATTTCTTCAATGGCCTTCTATCACGGTAATTTCAACTTGTTTTATTTTATTTTTTAATTGCAAACAAACGCCATCACACCAGTCAGGTTGCCTTTCAGCTCGCCATTCAAGGCAGACAGACCACCCAGTCAACCAGAGTGTCACGTATCCTGTCACTGAGTGGATAACGTCATGTCAAAAGGGCATTATAGGTCACATCTTCGAAGACGGACTATGATGTAAAGTACATGAAAGGAGTATGGATGTTGAAATTGATGAAGAAACGTCATGGCGACATGTAAAATAGGCATAAGGTGTGGTGAAATAATTTCAAAATTCGTTTGAGAAGCATATGTAAAATTATCTCGAAGAAAATTTTAATCTACAGGTAATATAAAAGTTGACAAGTATACATAAGTTGTTTTATTTTTTTGTCAGTATTACTGAATATAACAGTCAAATAGAATATTTTGTGAAAAATTATATAAATGTGTACAATAGAGCGTTCATTTAAGTCACGAAAACTCGTATAAAAATACGTTTCTCTTAGGTAAGTTGACGTCATCTGGAGATAACGAAGGAAAAACATAGATGGCGCGCGCAACATGAAGCGTTGGGGAAACGACTGAAAAAATGAAATGACGACGACGATGACTGGGAGGGCCTAACGTGCGATCCAACATGCCAGAAGGACACTGAGGCGCATCTTCGTCAACCAAGTGAACATCATCAAGAGGAGTTGAGCACATGTAGGTAAACATAACGGGAAAATGTATATAACTTTATGAATGTAGCCGTTGTACATGGTAGAGGAAATCAATTGAAGAAAAGAGAAGTGAAACTTTTTATGTTTATTGTATAAGTTTGAAAATGTCCGAATAACGTGTATCGTTTATGATGAAAAACCAGAAACGAAATTTCGTTAGACTCAGAGAAAAATGAAATTCCATACGACATTTAAAGTGTGATTAAGAGAAAAGGCTTTTTGATATGTAGTGAGGAATTTATGTCAAATTCAGTTGCTTTGATTGTCATGTGTGAAGTAGGTAGGTAGGTATATGACAAAGGCAGGTATGTTTCAGAGCACTTCGTGTCCGTGTTAGATTGAAAAAATTTTTGTTGATAATATACAGAGGGGCTAATTCGCTCGACCGTTCGTTAGTTCGTGAGAAATGTATACAAGGCGTATCAAAATACCATGACTAAAACAAGGTATAATATATATAAACACAAATAGAATACATAATTGAGAGCAATGAAATAACAAAAAATTTGAAAACGAAAATTTATCTTATACAAGCGGAAAGTTGTTGGAAATATGTAATAACGAAAAATTATATACGACAGTTTATAGCGATGAATGAACATCAAGATACCAGGCTGTTCATATACATAAAATATTCGAAATGAAGGAAATGTGTTTGTATATCAATTCATATTGAATAGGTATAACGTGGTCTAAGGTGCGATCCAACTGGTCAGAAGACCACTTAGCCGTATCTTTGTTAACCAAGTTAACCACCATCATCTTGTGGACCATGAAGACCACATGTAGATAAACATAACAGAAACATTCATATATATAGGGTGTCGCTTGAGAAAGAAAAGAACGGTATCTAGCGTTTCAACGTGCGAATCTCTTCGTTTACAATGTGGCTTATTCGAAGCGCACTATCATTGATTTGAATTTGAGAAAAAACAATGGCCACTTGTAATTTGTTATTTATGATCTCTCGATGCGTGTTTGAAACTCACATAAAAAATTTCATAAAATTTCAATGCGTTGAAACGGTCATTTTGGACAGTTCAATCGTATCAAAAAAACGCAATTTTCATTATTTTACACGCATGACAGAAAGACAGTAAACCATTTTAAAATAATGGGGGTTGATCGTAGGGGCGCTTGTGATATTATTTTCATGTAATTGAAATTTCCTTAAACGTAGACAAAAATTAAATGTTTAAGACATTGATGAAATCAACGGTAATGATTTGGTAATGTTTGAAATGTTTCATTTGTTTGTTTGAAATTTTAATGAAGAGTCCAGGGTTCAGAATAGTTAACTTTATTGAGTCGAAATTTATCAACTGTAAGGCATCGTAGTTTACGCATATGCCGTTTACCTTGCAAACGATTCCAAAATCTTGTTTTCCAGTACCTACTCCAGAGCCCAAAATTGTGATTTTTCAGAATTGGTTGATCCAAGATCGTCAAAAATACAAAAATGTTGGAAGATACTTGAAAAGCCTACATTTCAAGACCCCCTATAGCGCCTTCGGTCGGTAAGCATCATCTAGAGAGGTCTAAGATTGAAAAATCTCAAATGTGTGTAAATATAACAGAAAACAGTGTTTTGAAATACATTGTTTAGGCGACATACGTTTAACGATGGGGTGATCTAACGTTTCAACGTACGATTTCAATCAGAAACGTATGTGTGTGTGATCCCAATTAGGAACGTATATATGATACCTCAAAATTATTCGTTCAAGAAAAATATTAGGGACGTGTTTGGACTGAGGAAACTAACTTTGTTATTTTTAGAGATACAGAGACGTCTGTGGGTACTGTCACCTCACAATTTTTCTGGAGAGCATGAAAATAAAAACATTTATATTCAAGGAATTTAGAGGAGTCAACATCATTTCAGTAATGAATGATCCAATATGAAGTGTGTTTTATTTGATAATGTTCATTAGAAATTTCGCAAGAATATAACGCGTTGGAACGGTCATCTTACCATAATTGCTCCAAAAAATTCATCAAAAATATAGCGCGATAAGACGTCCATTTTTGTACGTCTTAAAAAAATAACGCTTGACAGAAAAGCAGTAAACCGTTATTGATAATCGGTTGATTGTAGGAAAATTGTGATGTCATTAAATGTCAGCGAGTGATAGAAACAAACATAGTGGCTTCGTTAATAATTCTTGAGTTGTGGGAAATGTTCGATTCATTGAGAAAGAGCGCTTTCCGTGATATAGATAATTTATGAAAATCGTCATACACCGCGTACGGTGACGAGGGAATTTTCGAATCATTCACAGCAATATGATGCCACACAAAATTTTGAATTGCATGCGTTAACGTTATGTGAAGATTTGTTGTTGTTTTGATTTTCATTGATTGTCAATTTTCTTCTTTATTTTAATGAATTTTCCGACAACATATAATGATATCTTCGTCTTGTTCATGTGATACCTACCTTCATGCATTTTTCTATCTTTGTCAATGTCACATTTAACACACATTACTTGAAACTGTTTGAATGCCACATTAGGTGGTGAAGATTCATTTCATCTTGCTTGAACATTATCATAAAAATCATATTATCATGCACTAATTGCTCGTAAATCCACCGTGTATGCACTTTGCCCGAAGTCAAATGTCATGACGACACACGCGCACACACACACATTGAATAATTACAAACTTTCACAATGTATATAGTAGCATTGTATATAGACTATATATACAAAGATAGTAGTTTCCTCAGTTGAACTGGTACCCTACACTATTTTACAATGCAATATATAAAAATTATTGATAAAAAAAATTCCTCCAACGACGAAGCTTCTGTCAAATTGACGTCAATTTGATAGGAGGAGTCTGGACAAATTCACCCGATTGGAAAGCAACGTCTATTAATTTAGAGAGAACCACGTAATATGAAAAAGTTTCAATATAAAATTTCACCTACAAAGAAATTTATCGTCTCATTATATTAGATTATACCTACATATAAATGTCTATATACGTCCTGAAAATAATAACCTGTATAAATTGATTTCAAATTTACTTTTCCCGTCTTAATTATATGAATGCGTTGAATAAAATATATAGGTATTGTCGAAGTAAACAATATTGTACAAATTTAAAGTTAGCGGCACTCTCAAAGGCCAAAAAAACCAATACACAGAAATGAACCAGCAGCGAACTAGTCCACGTGGACTGGAGACTTGGCGGTTTGTATTGGATAATTTTCACTAACCGAAATTTATGATTGGCTGAAGAGTCAAAAATTAAATTTGAAGTCATGTTACGGTGACGAATAGAAATCGGGGATGGTTATCGCCGTCGTGTTCAATTCAGGAACTGATCGCGATTTGAGTGTTGAAATTCGATATTGGTACAGTTATATAATTACTTAAAATTTTCATTATCTGTTTGAAATGTGGCGTTCTTGGACGAGTACCTAGTAATAGTAATAACGAGTGTGATATCCACGCAAACGTTTTCCATTGTAGTGATTGCAATGCGAAAATAGACATACCATCACTGAATAAGAGTCGGATGCATTTGAATATTGAAACACAGAGAGTATATGTTTCAATGTATATAAGAATCTACCTCTCAAGTTTGGTTTCGAGGGAAACAAACTATCACAAGCAACATCAGATTTGACCAAAATTCCTTTTTCAACTGTACGTAAAATAGTCAAAAACAAACCTCATGAACGCAAGACGCGATGTGATACGGGATTACCAAAACCTTTAGATGTTCATTTAATGAAATCATTGAAAAAAACAATATACGACTTTTACAAAAGCAATGAGATTCCTACAACTGAAATCATAAGGAAGACATTGAATACTTTCGGCTATAACGTGAGCTGGTGTGACAAAACTCTTCAGAATTGGATAAAAGAACTATGATTTAGATTTAAAATAATAAACAAACGTCAAGCAGTTATAGAAAGCAGAAGAATAGTGGAATTGCGTAACAAATACTTAGAACAAATAACTAAATATAGACAAGAACAACAGCAAATTTTCTATTTGGACAAAACTTGGAATGACACTCACGACACAGTTACGAAAGGGTGGACTGATGGTTCGAGAATGTGTACGTCTAACATGCCTGCGAACAAAGGATCGTGACTAAATGATTGTGCATTGCGGAGAAAGTAAAAGATGGCCTCCGAATTCTATGAAATTATGTGGAAAAAACTTGAGGACTGCAATGTTGACTATCATGAGAAGATGAAAGCTAATATTTTTTGAGGAATGATTAGAAATCACATTGATCCCAAATTTGGACGTATTTTAAAGATCACTATACCAAAAACCAACTACTTAAAGTTTTACAGACGAAAACATTTGAAAAAGTGTATGCCTTTGAGAGTATTGCTGAAAAATATGGACACACCAATTAAACTGAGACTTCTTCCCAATTTTTGTGTTTTCAATCCCATCGATTTATTTGAGGAGAATTGAAACAAAACATCGGGTGTAAAAATAATTTTCCAAAATTTGATAGGAAGGTAATAGAGTTATTAAAGAAGAAGTATCTAATATTACTGAAAAAGACTGACATAAAAAGATAATTTTAGTTGAAAAAGACTAAAGGAGATGGGACACTTCCATATTAATGGTGGAAATGAATTCATCATTGATTTAAATGACGTGATAGTGAAACAGAGAATATGGAAGAGGAATTATCGCATTGAACCGCGTCTGGAGTTTTGAATGACACTCACGACACAGTTACGAAAGGGTGGACTGGTTCGAGAATGTGTACGTCTAACATGCCTGCGAACAAAGGATCGTGACTAAATCATTGTGCATTGCGGAAAAAGTAAAAGATGGGCTCCGAATTCTATGAAATTATGTGGAAAAAACTTGAGGACTGTAATGTTGACTATCATGAGAAAATGGAAGCTAATATTTTTTGAGGAATGATTAGAAATCACATTGATCCCAAATTTGGACGTATTTTAAA